GTGCTAAGGTATTTCATATTAAAAGCTAATCAAGTTCTCCGCCTATACGTGAAATTATCAGTACAATACACTGCATCTTCAGGTTTCATGTGAATTTACACAAATTTAAAATTAATACATTTTCTTCCTCTATTTGATTCTCAGTGGGAGGTTGGCATATTGCAGCCTGTCATGGATCTGGTGATCAATTAAATATTTTTATTTATTATTATTTTATCAATAAAATAATTAAATTCTCATTTTGGTGACCCACCCCACTAACTCTTAATGAGATGAGAAAAATTGTCAAATTGTGTCAAGCTACCAGTTCCTCAATAAAAAGTATTGTTCAAGACTGCTTAAAATACTGTTGTTGAGAAGGGTTTTAAAAAGGTATTGGATTTAAAACTGGCTTTAATTGCTTATATTCCAATTAGAACCACATTACAAACTGCTGTTGTAAGCAACTTATGACTTTCGTATTATGTGAAACATTTTTTTAATAGTTTTGCAGAGCAGTGAGATGGATAATAGAAAATAGTATACAAAACACCACACAGTTAATCATGCCCTTTACCTGTACGTTTGCTATGGGTTTTTATGTCCATGTGGGATTTGCCTTCTCTTTGGGCTATGCATTTCTTATATAAAACATTCTGAAATGTTTTTTTTTAAGCATGTGCCAACATGCTAGTGCTGGTGTAATGTGAAAACGTTCAGAAATTGTTTTTGATAACTGGTTTCCACAAAAACACTATTAAAGAGAAATGGGTACAGGCAGGTCTTAAATGACACACCCTTTACTTTGCCCAGTTTGGCCTTATTAATATATTGAATACATTTCTTAATGTACTGTAGGCTATGAATTGGTTCTCATTTTAACATGCTTGGTCCCAGTCTGCAACAGGTGATTTGATGGAGTGTTTGAGTCTGTACACTCGGCGTGTACCAAGTTGTAAGCTGTCCCTCATCATTTCCTGTCATCTCAAGCTTACTAAATACATATTGAAAATGTCTTAGTCTGCACCTAATGTTTATGTTGTATAACAATCTACAAGAGCACGTTCAGCAATAAAATGATTCATCCACAGTGTGACAGGGAGCGCTACAGGAGGTCATTCTTGCCTTCTGCCATAAGACTGTACAACTCATCCACCTTGCGTCTGGGCAGAGGCAACATTGACAGTGACCTGTTTCTGGACTGAACGCATCTACACATCTACTGCTACATCTGTTCTCTTTCTTTTCCCATTTACAACCATTTTTTGTGCAATATATGCCAGGGACCCGTGCAATACTTTTATATTTATATCTATATTTACATCTATATTTATATTCTTATGTGCAATATGATTTTTCTGTGTACTGTTCTGTTCTAGTTTGTTCTTTGTGTGTCCTGGACTGAGTAACTCTTTTAGAGCACTCCTCACTGTATTGATTGTATTGTAGTATTATTATTATTATTATTGTATCATTCGTTACACTGTGTTGTCTGTGTTAAGCTGCTGTTGCACTGCAATTTCCCTCACGGGATCAATAAAGTATCTATCTACTACAATGCATAAAAGGCGGCGCGGTGGCTCTGTGGCTGAGGATCTGCGCCTGTGACTGGAAGGTTGCCGGTTCAAATCCCACGGCCCGCAGTGGAATCCTACTCCCTTTGGCCCCTGAGCAAGGCCCTTAACCCCAACTGCTCCAGGGGCGCCATACATTGGCTGACCCTGCGCTCTGACCCCAAGCTTCTCTTCCTGTCTGTGTGTCTGTGTCTCATGGAGAAAAGCTGGGGTATGCGAAAAGACAAATTCCTAATGCATGAAATTGTATAGGGCTAATAAAGCAACATTATTATTATTATTAAAACAATCTTAAAGCTGAATGCAAACACAAGCTTGTTATTTTTAAGTCTTTAAAAAAACCTCCCAAATTGTCAACCTTGATGTTAAATAAAATGGGTTACGATTACTAATTGGCTGAAAATATTTGCAATGTTATTTACAAGACTTCAAAATACATGTCCATTTTTAAAAGGCTCACTGAGAGTAGGAGGACTGAAGACAGCTGGGCAAGACTCACTGCCCCTCACTGTTGACATAAAATTGACAGCCAACTCTTAGAAAAGCTTAATGTCTATACAAATAAGTATTAACATCTTACATGAATAAAACTGCATGATTGGTTTTTATCTAGCAATCGATTCTCTGGTTGGATGGGAGCTAAACATACCCCCCTCCCCCCATTTACAGTACATGCACTACTAGAGTGAATTCATTTTTAATTTACACATTTGTTAATTATGCAATGTTTTTCAGGAGTGTATCTCCTGTGTAAATCGAGAACAACCTATATGACGTGTTTTTCCCCATGACAGACTGAGGGAAAAGCTGTGCTCATCACAGGCTGTGACAGTGGATTTGGATTTGCTTTGGCAAAGCATTTACATGCTCTGGGATTCACAGTCTTTGCTGGATGCCTTCTTAAGGTACGGCTTCTAGCTCTTTTCCGTCAGCGAAAAGTCAACTGGTTTTAGTTAGGAATCTAAAATCTAAACTTCACAACCCACTTTCTGTCAATGCAATCAAAGATCTGTGAGCTGATAAAATGTTTCAAAAAATATTATTTTTGTTTAAATTCAGAACTTAGTTTAAAAGTTTATTTATAGGCATTTTGTATTCTCCAGTTCTAATTAAAGATCAGTAGCTCTTAAATACACTTAGAAATCTTAGAAAAGTAAAGCAGATTGTTTGTACATAATGCAAATTTTGTTAGAAGTCTTTTCCTTGAGAGATGGGAGAGGACAGTGCAGAAGAACTGAAAACTTGAGATTTGTTTCTTCCAGCTGACAGGAGGGTATATTTTATGGCACTGTTGACAGGACAAGAGCGGCACTGGAGCTTGTGATCTGGAGAGCATGAACTCGGAGCGGATGAAAGTTGTGCAGGTGGATGTTTGCAGCGAGGAGGAGGTGAATCAAGCCCTGCAGTTCGTCAGGGAAAACCTGAAGGATGCAGAGAAGGGTAACAGAGCAGCATCCTTCTTCACAAGCCAGCATGACATCTTTGAACAAAACTCCCTGGTTGGATGCCATTGTTGACCCCAATGGCATCCTGCAGTACACTTGAACACTCTACTTATTTTTCTTCCAATCTCATAGCAGTAAACCTGGAGGTTCTATGTTTTTCCTTTAGTGTTTGCATGCTTTAAATCATTTATTAATTCAGTGCACCTGAATCCCAAAGCATTTGATTTATAACAGGGGTACCAATTCATTATGACTAAAGACCTGTACCCACCTGGGTGATGTACTGTATGGCCATTCTGCACCAGCAGCTGCAGCAGACAGTACAGGTGGCTAGAACACCCTTCTTTCACCTCTGAGAAGAGTATCTCGGTTCACCTGAACTTCTGTCTGTTGATGGGATTGTGAGCGTGTAATCCACCCTCAGGAATGTGCCACTTATTTAAAATGATACAGAGAACAGCTAAAGAAATGATTTTCTTTGAGGTGAACAGAAGACACTTTAAAATGGCTCTGTACGTCAATAGTCCCTTATGTCATCAATGCATGATTAATGATCTAACAAGCACTGTCTTCTGCAAACATCAAAACCAAAGAAAAGACATGAAGTGATTTATCAGCAGGTGCACTAAGGGAATCGGAGATATTGCTGTGGGAGCAAACAAGCAGGTGGCATGCTGGTTGTGCGTCATAAACACAGTTTACACAAGTGCAAACCGTCGCTCTGACACTTCTGATGTACACCAAGAAGACTCATAGTAACCAAAAGAAGAAGAGACAAAGATTGTAAAATGCAGATGACTCAAGAGTTGCACATGACAGTTTGCATTATCTTTTTGAGGTCTGTGGGCACTGGTGAATAATGCTGGAGTCTCAACTTTTGGAGAAGTGGAGTTCACAAGCATGGAGACATACAAGCAGGTTGCGGATGTTAATCTGTGGGGTACAATCAGGGTGACCAAGGCCTGCCTTCCCCTCATTCGCAGAGCTAAAGGTGAGCTTGACCGGGGTAACACGCACAATTTTGAACTATTATTTAGTAACTGGTCCAAAATGTGCTGTTATTAGGAACCATAATGCTTCTTTTTATTGTGATTCATATTCAACATTAGCTTGCTAAACATGGTTTTGGTTATGAAACTGGCACATGTGCAACACTTAAAACAAACTGGAACGTGCATGAACAGATCACTTACAGCAGCATGTTAACACTGTAAATGAAACAGTGGAATAAGAGAATAAATGTAAATGTTCTGCAGGTCGAGTGGTGAACATTGCTAGCATGTATGGGAGAATGGGCAATGCCCTTCGTTCCCCTTACTGCGTGTCCAAGTATGGTGTGGAGGCCTTCTCGGATTGCTTGCGGTACGAGATGCGGCCGTGGGGCGTCAAGGTCATCACCGTCGAGCCTGGGAACTTCATTGTCGCCACGGGGATCCTGACGCGCGACATTGTTCTGGCGACGGCTGACAAACTGTGGAACGCGGCTCCAAGCATTGTTCAGGAGGATTATGGGAGGGCACATTTCGAGCGTCGCATTTCCGTGGTAAAGTCCTACTGCAACAGTGGGCAGAAGGACATGACCCCTGTCTTGCACGACATCGCAGACGCCGTCACGTCCAACTACCCCTTCACGCGTTACAACCCTATGGAGGTCTACTGGTGGATTCGGATGCAGGCGATGACCCATCTTCCGGCTGCCATCTCTGACAGGATCTATTTTTAATCCACGCACTGGGAGCCTCTGATACTGCTGACAGAGTTAGAGCAGCAAAAGAGTTAGAGCAGCTACTTTTCAACAAAAGAGAATCTCTGATGCGAAATGTCGTCTGTACAGTAGCTCTTTAATTTTTTGATTTAAGTAATATGTATGGCTGTCACGCTAGTTTACTGATCAACACTGTTGTAGGCTAATATGAAAAGACTAGGGTGTTTAAATTGTAGGCAAGCTTGCTAGCTAGATTTCTCCTTTGTCTGAGAGTGTACCGATATGGCATTTTTCATGAAATGAAATAGATTGTCAGTGTGCCCCTGATAAAGTAGAAAACTACAGAACAGTCTCTTTCCAAATGATCAAAAGCTGCTTGATGTGTAGTTTTATTAATAAAATGGTTAAATCATTCACAGCAACAGAAATATACAGTTCAGCCTCTTTTTGCTCACATGCTTGTTTTGTGTATTTAATGCTGTCATTTTTTTTTAAATTCCTGGCACTTCTGTACTGCTTTTCATAGGAACCGAAGTGTTAGATCAGCTAAAGCTTCCAGCAGCCCCCTTGTTGGGCCTGGCGGAAAGAAAAGGTCATTTGACAGCATTAAAAAAGTAGATTGATTTACTCACTGTTACATTGTTACACTGAAAACATTCTTAAAGATGGCTGTAACAAGCGCTAACTTGCCCTATAAAAGTTGTTAGTATCTTAAAAGAATCTCCTACTTCTGAAAAAGTTTAAGCTGGCAAGTTTCAGCATTTTCTTTAAAAGATCATTTTTTATGCCTGCCATTACTGTCAATACAGGTACAGTCTGCTTGGGTTTATTTTTCACATTTAATTGCTTGTTTATTTGAAACAGAGATTTAAATCAAGATACAGTACATATGTGGGAACCTGTTTACAGTAAATGGAACAAATATATAATGGTTTAAATTAATAATTCTGAATACAATTTAAAAGATCACTGTCATCACAATTCCTTTCCGGTTTGACTGTCAAACCAGTAGGCGGGATTATTTTAAGACATGCACTGAATTTATTTTCAACTGTTAACCTGCAATTACTGACATCTTTTTCTAAAACTAAAATGTTGGAACACTAAGAAATCGCAAGAATGGTTGTGGGTTTCACATTTCACATTTCACTGGTAGGTAATGCATTAACTTTTTCCCTATCTGTCCAAAAGATTAAAATGAATTATAGGAACATACTATTGGATGTGGACAATGTTAAGACCATTTTTTCCGCCTGTTTCCCAAATTTGGATATTGATTGGATATAGCTGTAACTCTTTTTGAATGAAATTTGAATGAAAGACGCCGACCATGGAATAAAAGGTACCTAGTAAGAGTTACAAGCAATACAAGTCCGAGCTAACTGATTTGGTAATGCCTCAAACCGCTGCAATCGTTAATAATAGTGAGCTGTGAGCACAGGTTGTGCTTTAGTCTTATGAACCCTACTGATCAATCCAAGAGTTTTATTACCTTCCCTATCGTTTATTTGTTTTAGATATTCATAAAAATGTCTCGGATATCACCTATTTCTAATTCTGTTACCTCAGGGAAGTAAATTAAAGAGACTGCAAGTGGTGTAAGCTCATGTGCTGCTCCTCCCACGCCTGCTTGAGATTGAACAGGCTAGCTAGAGCTGCAAGGTGGCTCTTCCATTGTATTGCAAATCTTTATCCAGGCTTATCCTCAATTACCCCTTATCACCTTGTTCACTTAAGTAATCAGTTAGAACACTTTAGTAATCAATGAATTAAAAGGATGAAGTGGATTCCTGTAATTGTACGCAAACTGGAAGAACAAAGGTTGCCTAGAACTCAACTCTTAGAGAAGAAAGTTAAAACTTTGCCTAACATAATTAGGGTTTTTGATGCCACATTAGCAGCCTACTACTATTTAAATGTTTTAGCTCAGGGACAAAAGTCCAGATTGTGGTTTTCAGGAGTCACATAGATGGAATACAAGAAGATGGATACAGATTAATCTTCGGTTAAGTCATCGAAAGAACTGGGCACATAAAGTATAATGAACTGAAGTCTAAGAATATGGAGTAGTGGGGCTGTCATATTCCTGTGTTTCCACTGGGGGGCACTATTCAATCATGCCACTTGCTCAGAGCTAAGATGATTTACAGTATGTTCACATTACACCCTCCATAAAAACTCCAAAACCATCTTTAACGCCATTTTGGCTTGCAGGCAATAGAATGTGCACTAAAAGAGTTTCTACACAGAAAGACCAATGTCACATGAGCATGAATAATTTCAGCTGAGGGAAAATTTAACTGGGGCACTGATGGTGCAGAATGATTATAAATAAGCCTAATACCAGACAAATAGTTACCTATTCGGATGAACTATTTTAACTATCAGATTATTTGTAAATACATTACAGCACTTTCTGTGGAGTAAATCTTGCTTTCATAACTTCATCGTTAACTCAACACTTGAGGTAAACAGTCTGTTAAAGGAATTTTAAACTATACAGTGGTAATGCTTAAAAAGCAGTAAAAAAAAAAGTAATCCCCCAGTATTTACAAAAATCCATCAAAATCAAACCCAGAAATATTTTTTCTTTCACACTTCCATCTGCTGCACATTAAAATGGTTTACCAGCAAAACAGGGTCACCTCAGATTTTGGAAAGAACACTAGAATACAATAGCCGATCATGATAAAGAGCTGGAGGACATATTGAGCACTTGGCGTCTTGTGGCTGAATGGAACGTCAGTTTTCATATGCTTTTCTTAAATGTAGTTTTTCTCTGCGAGTCACCTCATGCACTCCGCTAGCTAAATACCTAGAGCGATCTATTCAAGTCTTCTAAAGTCATCTGAAAGTAAAAATTTGCTTGCATCTTTTCATATCAGTTGATCACTCTGATGGTTTCTGATCTGACCTTTCAAAGATATCACAAAAACTGCATCTTGAAATGTATTCCACAAGACTGGTAAACTACTCTCTGGGGCCACAAATATTCTATTTCAAAAGAAGCCCGATACCATGTATAGTATATACTGCATTTCATGTCTACTGTAGCTTGGCCCAAGATCTGGACTGAGTTTAAACACTGTGTACAGGAATCAAGAAATAAATGGGATCAATTTTACTGTGTGGTAAAATTTCCCTGCTTTTGAACTACATAGCAAAGGAGGGGAACTTTAAGTACCTCCAAACGGAGGCAGTAAAATATTGGATAGTTTATGTCTCCTGGGTCATGCTCAGAAGTGACCATAAAACAATTTTAATGCACATGGGCTGCTTTTGTTCTCTAAGGAGCTTTACTAAACCTGCAAGGAGAAATAAATGTTTTCATTCACATCACAGATGTATCAGATGTTCACAGGAGGTCTGTATGAGGAGTATTCAAAGAAAGTCATATTTGTAACATAAAAACTAGGCATTATACACAATATAATTAAATGAAACTGCAGTGTTAAGCAAAATAACGATCTGGGCATGACTAAGCCTTGCATTTCAGCTTTTATTACACACGGAAACTTTGTGTTTCACCATGAAATCAATGGGGCCGAGTAAGGATTGGAAATTGAGAAACTGGAATGAGACTTTTTTTTTTATCACCAAAAGTTTTTATCATCCAAAATCCACCTCAAACGTGCACATACACTAGAACCTTCACACAAAAATACATTCCCTTGTTTAATAGTTTTTCTTAAATCCTAACTTGAATTATGTTGTCTTGTAAAGAAACGAGCTGGATGTGAAATGCATGTCTCGTAGTGAAAATGTATGGCTCAGTGGAGCCACTGTCGTGCATTTACAAAATAAAAAGAACACATTGATACTGTAGTTAACAATTTTATTACTTTTTTTACAGCCTAATAATTTTCTTAAAAATGTCACTTGAAGCCGATTCCCCTCCACAAACAAAATGAAGAGTACAATAATTTTCACAGTATAGCCTATTCCTTTCTATTGTTCACAAAGAGTGCTCTGCAATTTCAAACAAATCCAGTACAGACAAGTTCGCAATTAGATAATTTACTTTGGGAAACAATATTTGATGGATAATGGCATAAACCATGTTCTGGTGTGCAGAAACTTCATATGAAATCATTGGCAATTGTTTCCATGCTAGCGACAATAATCTAATACTGTGTAGACCAAATTCTAGAATATTGAAATAGTCAAGACCTTTATATCACTCCTATGTCACGTTACATTATCTAGACACAGTCTTGAAAGAACTACAGCAAATTGAGGTCAACTTGATTCTAGTTTTAAAACACAAATCAAGCTTTGAAAAATAAAGTGTTAACTCTTCAAAATACTTGGATAAAACATAACTGCCTTTAAAACAAGGGTAATGTATTATTTAAGGATGCATTACTCATTTTCCGCTATGAATGAAGATCAACATTTAAAAATACGAAGGCATGGTCAACCAGCAGGACACATCAAAATAAGAGCATGCATCATTCCGGCAGCCAAGCTTTGGTTTAGACAGCAGCTAAGGCACATATCAAAAATGGCCTAGTCAATCTCAGTGTCTTGCCTCAACTGTTCGATTAAAAAATAAACTTTTTTTGGCATAAGCATAATTTGTACAATTAAGATTCCAGCCAAATTCCGTTTTACAAATACTCTCAATCCCTCCCCGACCATTAAATCCTCAGTCGGCATTGTTACCATCTCCACTTCAAACTTATTTGAAAGAATTCATGCCTACTTCCCTGGGTGAAGGACAAAATGACTCTTTTCTTGTTTGTTGTTCACAATGAACTATAAACACCACAGAGATCCTGCAGTCTTTCTTTCTTGTGTTCTCCTTGCCTAAACATGCCCATCTACCTGCTCGTTTATTCAGTACTCATCTGGCATTCTGGACTCCTCAGCTTTACAGATTCTTGGTCCCTTACTCAATCTTTGAATCTTTACTTCGAATTTTTTTCCATACAAAGAACAGTTGTCAGGTTCTCCAAACCTGGCTTCAACTGTGCTTTTTTTGGTGTAGAAACACTTGGAATTCAGAGCAATTTGCTGGAATGCATGGTTCCTAAGGACATACTTTACAATAATCTTGAGCATGATGACTGTACAAAAGGTACACTTCAAGCCCAGATACCAGAACTTCAGTACTAATGGCAAAATTGATGAATCTCAATAATACAAACAAATTAAACAAACAAAAAAAAGAGATCAGGAAGACTGTGTATAGCTTTTCAGGCCAAGAGCTTTAGAAGCACAAGACTATCAAGAGGAACATATCTTCTAAGGACACTGATAGGCAATCAAAGAAAATGTAATCTGAATTCACTTATAGTGAGCAAGCACACAGAACAGACATCACAATCTTTTGAAGCTACGCTTTACTTGACATCACTCACAACCATGGTTCAAATCAAACATTTATACATGAAAACAATGAGCTAATTCTTAATTAGACTAATCATTTAGGTCCAAGAGTGGAAGAACTCCATGGCAATCTAAGGATACAAACACTTACTCCTCCTTTTTTGACAATCCCTTGCATACATCTGCGTAATACAGTCTTGTTTCAGCTTCGTCCACCCTTCACTAACCACTCTCACTCTTATTCATCAGAAGCGTAACCACTGATCTTCCGTTCCACTCTGGAACTTTGGCACAAGACAGCTCTTTCCATTAGAAAGGAAAGCAGTGCTGCTGTAAAAATTAAAGTTTCCTGCTGGTAATGCATTACTAGACAAACCAAGAACAGCACATTTGCACAGAAATGTCACAATGTAAAAGGAAAAAACAAGCAACTAAGGTCCAATCTGGTAGGCTGATTCAAACAACTGCACGATGATGCAATGAAAGTTCATACAGGTTACTGGAGAACACCATATAGATGGGCTAAACGTTACAGGCTTCCACAAGAAAATGCATGTAGGTTATTGACTAAAATGGTGATCAAACCACACTGATGAAGTGCCACGTACTGCAGAGGTCTTCCCCATGGCTCCATTTAGTTATTGGTATCAAATTTTTTGGATTTACATTTCAGTTCTTCTCCATGCAGCTGCTTGAAGAAGCCAACACATTTTAGAAGCTCTATAAATTCTAATTTTGGATTCCATAAACAGGGTCTTTAAGAAATGACTGATCATCTCATTTCTGCACTTTTACAGAGTTTCTCCAAGACAAAGGGCCCTATATTCAAAATATATTAAGCAATAGGAACCGAAGCTTCTATGTTCTTGTATATAAATAAATGTATGGCCCAACACACATCAGTTCAGGAGTCACCCATGAACAACTAGAACTCTGCAAAGACTCAGAAATGCAATGAGCATCACACACAAAAAAACTTCAAAACGTGGAAAAGTGAACATCGTACAAATGGTTAAAAAAAAACCCAATCTTGCTTAATTTAAGGGCTCATGAAAACAAAAGTTGTTGCAAATAAAAGTTCAAATCTTAAGACAATTTTGTAACTTATTGGACCCAAAACGTCACTTAAAACACTGTGCTTATTAGCTTAACTCACATTATGTTTACACTACTCTTTTTTAATTACTGATGTGAAGGTGGTTTTCCGGCATCTACAAATTTAGCCCAACGTTTGGTATCGTGATGCAGCACCACTTTGGAATACAGAGCACTCCCTGCAAGCAGGCGACCTGGCACAGTTGAATAGTAAGCCTTTCATTTTCCCTTTCATGAGAAACATCTTATGCAATGAGACAGTTCTATTCATCTGAAGTGATAGACATGTGGGACGTTTACAAAAAGTCAGGCAAGATCTTTGATACAGTAGGTACCCATTCTAGTAAGACCTTCTAGCAAGAGACACACTTCTCCTCGAAACACCCTGGCCTGGCCACACGATTCACTGCAAACAGGGAAGGCAGTATGTTAATGTAACATGATCATTTCCATTTTCACCTGCTCTTAAAGATCCCCCAAAACACATACACCTTATTTCAATAAAGTTCCATGCAACGCTTTTAGAAGCCAACTTTTAATACCAAACATTCAGAGTTGATTTGGTAGCATGCAGCCCACCACAAAAGTCTGCCATTAAAGCGTTTGGGTGCTTTTTCCAAAAAAATCGATTTTAGCTTAATATACTTTGAAATTTGATTAAAAAAAATCATATACTTTTCTGAATCAATGCTTTGCCTGACGTTTTACTAAAGTGTTGCCCAGACAAAGCAAAACATGTTAACTGCACTGTGCATGTAAGTATTGAAGGGATCAAGCCATAGTTTAATGTTAATGTGCTCACTTGCAATCCATGAAATGTAAAACACTTTTCTCAGGCTGGATCTTTTGCTCATAAACATAGTAAGGTGTGAGATAAATCACGTGTTCACCTTTTCAAAATTCCAGAGTTAAATGAATCACACTGGAAAAGGCAAGCTTTTATATGAATATATATTAACAAAACTAAAGTATTGCTAAATAAATGTTGTAGTCAATATACAATACATACTATGACCTAAACACAACTCAATGAAATCAATAGTCATCCAGGAAGTCTTTCTGGGTACTTGGGAGTCCACTGTATTGTTTCTAATTTCCACCAATTGGTCACAACAGAAAAAAGAAATCAGTTTCATTCTCTGGAGATCAGGATAAAGGCTTAATAAGGTAGAGTTTGTCTCCTTGTTCACTTGTGAAAATGGGGGCTTTTTTGTAATGTTCCACCAGTTCCTCCATGGAGTTGAATTTGCGCTGTCCAATGCAGTACAGCCCATCTTTGAGCTGTACCTTGAAATGCTTGTTTTTGCCTTGTGCTTTCAGGGAGATGGAGAAATCGTTTGGCTGGAAAAAAAAAACACAAAAACCATGTAAATGTGCATGAAGATGAAACTTTAGTAGAATTGTTTTCGTAAAATACATTACCATGCATAAAAAGTTCAACTCCTCTACATTTTACATGTGGACAGTGACATTTTGAAGAACCTTTATCATTACTAAACCAATTGCTATCTCAGCAGAGAAAAGGTTCCCATGTTATTACTGCTTCACGTTATAAAGGGGCCGTTTTCATAGGATTTCCAGAGTTCAGAAAAAAGAACGTATCTGCATAAGCACCACAGAAGGGCTTAAAGTACAAATCAGATTATGTCACACACATAAACTTTAGTCTCAAGATCACTGACCCACACAAACAACCAGGACTACTAATAATAAACCACCTCTTCAAGGCACCTGCAAAAATAAGTAGACTTATAACCCGAGTCAGGAATGTTATGTGGGTCATGCTGCAAGCCATACTGCAGCATTCCTGCAGAGACAGGACAATGCCTTAGAAAGTACGACAATTTGAATGAGCGATTGCATTTAATGCTAAAGCAAACTGCAGAGTAACATAATGACCAAAATAACCACAAATATTTCAACTCTCACAATCTGGCGATTGTAGTTTATAATATACTTACATTGCTTTTGCCTTTTAGATAACATTATGCATCTTTAGACATGCTGGGTGTAGCTACAGTAGACGTTCAGAGTGCGGTATGAGAGGAATTTTCTCTCCTTTTTACCAAAGTGATCAAAGGGTTGTTTAAGAAACCGTGATGTAATCCTGAACATGCACCATCAGAATGCCTTTGAAACTGAGACTACCTTGAAACTCAGATGTGCTGTGTGGTAGGAACTGGTCAAGAGAAAAGCCAAACATGGGCCCTTTTATCATTTCATCACTTTGAAACAAAAGATAGGGAATGCCTGTCTTGGCACAAACACCTCTAAAAGCAAAACATGACCTGGTTTCTGCTCAGAACCACTAATTTACTTGATGTTCTAAGCTGTCCATACATAGGATCTCAAATTCTTGTCCTCAAGGGGCATAAGGCAGGTTTTCTTGTCTTTATGGTCTTTAAACCATAAACAGCTTAAGATCAGTAATTATGATGTATATTTTAAGGCCTGAAAGACCAAAAATGGAGACTCTTGTCTATCTTGACTCTTGTATCAAATACACCTTTTTCCAATGCAAATTTTCTTATTAGGCAGAATAATTACTTCCGGAAGCCTAAGCCTTATACTGAACACTTCACAACTGGGCATTTCTTAAATTGTAGTGAAACTTCAAAGATTGGTGAGTTCCAGACACCATCTTTTATATTAGTGCCAAAAGGAAAATGAACTCAGCCACTTTCCAAAGAATGCAATCACAGCTTACGATGGTACCCGGTCCTGTATACTGTACGACACATGCAAATGAAACATTACGAGAGCCTGGCTTACCGAAGACTCACTGTCGCGAATGAGGAAATCGCCCTCTTCTCCCCGCTGATTGAGTGCCACCTCTGCCTGATGCCTGGTGACTTTCCCGTAGTACCACTGTCTTCCTGCAAACTTCCCGCTGGCAGCCGGCCCGATATAGTCGCAGTCAGGTGTGGGGGGCCCGGCACTTCCCGGGCAGCTCTGGGAGTTCTGCAGCACGTTGACGTAGTTCTTGGGTACCAGCCCCACCTGCCCGTCACTCTTCCGGCACTTCCACCACTCGGGGTCGTTCTCCGGCTTCTCGATGACGTCCATGATCTCGCCCTTCTCGAAGTTGAGCTCCTCGTCATTGCTGGAGCCGAAGGGGTAGAGGGCCTGCACCACGTGCAGCACGCGGTTGCTGTTGGCGGTCTGCACCACTGCGGCCAGCTTCTCGGTCAGCGATCCCACGGGGTCCGCCGACTGGCAGTCCGAGTCTTCCACCACGTAGTTGGAGGGGAACCAACCCGCGTGTCCGTTGTAGCTCCCCCTCCACCAGCCATCGCTGCACTTTTCCATGACAATGACCTTGGTGCCCTTCACCAGCGAAAGCTCGTCCTCCCTCTCTGCGGTGTAGCTGAATTTCACCAGCGCCGGCAGGTTGAGGTCATACAGCCGCTCGCCGTTACTGGAGTAGAAGTCCGCGTCTGCGTTTGACGCCTCTTCCCTCATGCTTGTTTTCCGCTTCACCTTGCCGATTCCTGCAATCATATTACGAGATAGCTCAGGAAAAGGACCCACAGAAGATAAAGTATACGATGCAAAGTACAAATGATAGGATCTTTTATGTAAAAATGTGGAGTTGCCTAATGCAGTGCGGTGTTCACATAGCGAAACCCAACAACTGCACCACACCAACAAAACCTGCAGAAGGACAGGCAGTTAACAAAATCTTAGAGTCTGGAACTTGTGCATCCCGAGAAGGAAATAAAGAAGCATAGAGACATCAACATTTTCGGAAAAGAAGGCTACTCATATCCACAGACTGCAGCCCCACTTCACGTTTCACTCAGTGCTATAAGCAACACCCTTAAGAGGGTTGTTGCCGACAACAGAAGAGGTCAGGCAGAGAAAACCCAAACTATTTAAAAGTCGGGCAGCAATCCAGAAGAGATTTCAAAAGGCATTGTTGTTAATACAAGCGGAAAAAAAAGTTTTTTTGGCTGCACAGATATAATTGCATATATTAAAAATAACAAAAAAATAATAATTGAAAATAAAAAGAAAAAAGGGATTTAAACGAGCAACAGAAATGAAACAATGATCATTCTAATGTAAGAACACAATGCTCTTTACAGATGACTCCCAGGTTTGAGCTGTTTGGCAATAGTGTTTGCGAAATCAGACTGGAGAGCAATATAACAAACCTGTGTACCGCAACTACAGTTAAACAAGATGGTGTGTTAATAGAAGACTGGGGCTGGATCGTGGGGACTGCCCTTGTACATAGAGAGATTCTGATCCACCATACCAGGGACCTAATTCACAGGGCAGGGATGCACCTTTCCCCTGCAGTCAAAGCCTGTTGAGAACATCAAGAGGCTGATCCAGCACTCATAAAAGTGTCACATGCAACAGATGCTAAGAAACTTAAATTGCAAACAACTGAAAATCCGTTAATTGGAACTGGAACTGCGCCGTGCCGTACAGGATATTAACATTTCACAGTCCTTCACTAGTCAAGTACATACTGTACTGTATGAGCATGAAAAGAAAATGCCTTACTCTGCATAAAGCAAATAACTCACCAAATACCAACAATGTGAGCAATGTGTTTGTTTTTATAAATACAGTATAACATAGCAATGAATTGTGCTTATACTTGTGCTTATTTGTATTACATACAGCCGTACATTTCTCCATTTCAATAGTTATTGCTGATACCAATATCACTCTTTTTCATGGTTATTTCAATACCCTTTTGATACTGAGTAACAAATACCAACAACCATAAAATAGTATGACAGAAACTGAGTTGGAGTCTGTTCATTAAAATACATTACAGGCTTTCTAATCAACTGTTTTTCTCATGTTTGATATAAAAAAAACAAGCCAACCTCTTCTACATCATTACAGCCAGTAACAAGATCCATGTGGTCACAGGTCTTTTGATACAAGGCAAGCAGTCAGCTTTCAAATTATTAGTTCATAGCACAGCATTTGGAGCAACTTGCCTGCATGTTAAATGTGTTTGAACAAACTGTAATAACCAGCCTAATGAGACTCAAACGTTTAATGATGTTAAAACCCAGGCATGTTACCACTAATCACTGTGGGAAAGGTGTTGCCAAAGAGGATCACAGTAGTGACCATATACATTTTTGTATACCTTTCCCTTTGGTTTGGTCTAGTCTGTTCTGGCCAGGCAGGTTTATAAGTATATGTATCAACAAGTACTGGGTGTGCACCAGCACAGAGTCCTCTTCAATTTCCGAAGTTTAACAGCTGGCACACTTCCACTGCAGGATGAGGTGATGGAGAGAAGCTTCTTGAGAGCTTTGTATTGTTCCAAATTATGATGTTTTCCTTGGACTACAGTCTATTAATAGTCATAGGAAAAAAGATAAACTACCACAGAGAATACACAACAATACAGAGATACGGTAAAACTATTAACCAGAGATATCTATAAAATCAGAGTATTTGGAACTTGCAAGTACCTTTACAGACTTAACCCTCGGGAATTACAGTACCTAAACAGACACATGTATATAGAAATACATTTGGGGGGAAATTCTTTTTAAAACAAATTCCTTATAGTTAGTTGTGTAATGGATCGTTTTTTTTTTAATTAATACGCTTAAATATTTAAAAAGTCTTCAGTTATATATGTAGTATGTGTATATATTATGTACTGTTCAATGTAATACATTACCTCTTAAAAAGTAATTTCCTGCAGCTTCTTATTTACTGAAAGTTAAAATTAACTGAAAAGAAATTTGTAATAGTGATGGATTAATTAAAAAGTGTAGCTTTCCTTAACAATACACAAAATGAATATAAGGAGACCAGAGTGACCCCTCAATTAGACAGCACACATCCCCCAGTGTACCAGAAATTAACCACCATAAAGACAACCAGATTTTGAACATTTTTTAAAAGACATCTGAGAATTGTTTTTCAACACAAAGGTGACGTATTGGTATCGAATTAAGTTAGATACACAGTGTATGTAAACTATAGCAATAACGAAAAGTTGTTTTAGCAATTCCTTTAGAAGTAGGATAAATAAAGAAAAGTTTTAATATAATGTTTTTTAATGTGAACTCAATCATTTGTTACCAGAAGATTAATTTATTAAGCCATTGGATACATTACATTAAATACAGGTACCAACAGGTTGAAACAACATCGATTCTTAACTTGTCCAAATACCTTTTCATGTAACCGTGCTTGTCGTTAAGTGTTTCTAGAACACTCCCTTACCTATAGGCTGCCACAAGTCTTTATTTCAAAATACTGTTCTTACAGGTGAAACCCATTTTCCATTCATCTGGGTACAGATTGTTTTCAAGTGATTATCACTGACTAAAATATTACATTCTTTAGAACTCACACTTAAGCTGTCCCCAGAAATATCAGAAGATCAGTGAGAACAACTATAAAGGAACTATAAAGGAAACCTAATTCATGGTCCAGTAAGTGATAAGATTAATAATGTTGTAACATTAACAGAGGTCGATAAAAGTGTGCACAATCTCTCAATTCAAGAGAGCCCAGTTTCATTCATTGAACTGGTTTTATGTCTTTTTGGATTCTTCTGAAACTTAAACCAAGTAACATGCTGAATACAGTTAAAATTAGCCAGATACACACTGTTCTTTTATAACTGTAATGCACAGAAAATAGATTCGTCTCACTTGGTCTTAGAAACCTACCAGTATTTCTAATACATCCTGTGATGTTCCCTTTGTCTTCTCACCCTTCCTCTGTGTAATTTAAATAAACACTACAGAAGACTGAAGGCAATAGGTGTTGTTTATCTGACATACTGTACCTAAATATTGTTTTGGTCCTCCTACCTACTTTTAAGCAAAGCTGAGCTAGATACAGGTTTAAAGATCTAAACCATTAGGCCTTAGGCGAAGTGTATAAAGTGCAATAAAGTAGGCCTCTTTTAACAGAGAGCTCTTTCAGTCTCCTTGTCCTTGCCTGGCCTGAGACATGAAGGACCATTTCACCTGACAGAAAACTATTTGGGTTAAACAATCTACTCTGGGCTATAGACTCACTGAAATAAAACGCATACACATTTTGTGAAAGATCAAGTTGACTGTTGCCAGGGTGAGTCAACAGAAACACACAGAACTGTTTTGTACCCGGTCCAGACTATCAGCCCTGTGTCTCATTGGGGATGATCCCTGCTTTTGCTCGTCTGAGTCACAGGTTCATCATAAACACCTTTTTGGGGTCCCACCTACCTATTTACTGTGAATTCAGCGGGGTAATGACAGCAGATGTGAAAAACAGCTTAAAGGAGTGTGAAGTCAGCATTTGCAACCTGTGCTATTACTTGTGCATATTCAAAATTGAATTATAAAACAGTACAAGTTTAACAAGGAGCACGTTTGGCAGACTGATATATAATTACTCAGGGGGGAGTTTATCTTCTCACCCATCATGTGGTTTCTTTCTTTTTACAGGCTTTGTGCCTATGTAGAAAACCAGCTGCTCAAAATCTAGTGAAATCCATTCACAAAATGTGTCTGCATATATACTGCAACCAAGCTGTCTGTTAAGGTTTTCTCAACAAGATAGTTGTCATCACACTAGTTTTGAAACCACAAAAGACGTCTTACAGCCATGACCTCACTGTTGAATTGTAACACTTTACAGAAATTCTCAGCTCTTTCAAGTCAGCCTACATTTCAAACCTCACACCTGAAGAAGGCTCCACGGCCGAAACGTTGTGTTCTCTTTCTTCTTTTTTTCAGCATGGAATAAACCTATTACTTGTTCCTTTACATTTCAAACACTTGGCTTTAAAACATACATTGTCACGTTCAAACTTCCACAGCAAATTCTTAGCGATTTCCTTTTCTTCACAATCCCATGTTGGATATAGGCAACAAAGCAGACAGACCAGCACGTAGGAGTTCACAAGGAAAGGTTTTTCCTCTTTGAGGGGGGCAAAAGAACGCTAACCAGACAAAAAGCACATTACGATTATATGATTAAATCTGTATAAATCCAAAGCTTCATATTATAGCAATTTCTGATTCATTGGCTTCAAAGAAAGACCATAATTACGCCGGGACATGGAGCCCCACAGTAGCGCTGACATTGCAAGCGAGGCCTCAAGGAGAAATGTCTGAACTGAACAATGAGATTAGGACAGGATCCAAACCCAATGTCAATCCTACACTGCCCAAGTTCTCTACTAAGATTCTCTATAAAGCAAACATAAAAGCAGTAAGAATGAAGACCAGTCCACCCAGTTAACATTTTCAGGAAAAAATGAAACCTTAATAATCCATCCTGACTTTGTTCCTTATTCACAGTCTACCTGTTAGCAGGCAGGAACTGGGTACATAAAGACAGACAACAAAACCATGCTTACCCAGACACAGTAAAAAGTAGTTTACTTCTGTTACTGCTATAGATGTCCAGTCCTGATTCAGCACAGTATCACTGGGACTTCAATCAAAATCATAACTGGGACCTTACAAGGAATTAACCTTAAATCCTCAGATTGCATTCA